GAATTTACTTAGAAGGATTCCTGTGTGTTGTGAAGCTTTGGGGCCATTTTTCTTCATTCTGAAAGTATTATTTTTGGAGGGGGGCTTACACCCAGAGGTGCTCAGGGCTTCTTCTGACTGTGCTCAGGGATGACTCCTGGCAGGGCTTGGGGATCCTGGATTCATACCCAGGCCTGAACCCAGGTCAGCCGTAGAAGGCAAGTACCCTACCCGCTGCATTATCTCCCCGGCCCCCAAACCCTGAAGCTTTTCTGGAAGTTCTTAGAACTAACAGAGGCTGAGCAGGGTTTTTTTTTTTTTTTTTTCTAAATGCTTTCAGCTGAAAACTCCCAGTTTTCCTGGGGACTGTATCTCCCTCCCCAGACACTCGCTCCCTCTCTGCCTCACATGTCACACCTCACACCCTTTCCCTGGGTCACAAGGGACCCAGCCAGGCCCCTGATGTATCCCCCGGTCTGGGGCGTTCTCCCTGGCCAGTCTCCTCCTTCATCCTCCTCCTCCTCCTCCTCCTCCTCCTCCTCCTCCTCCTCCTTCTTCTCCTCTTCCTCCTCCTCCTCCTCCTCCTCCTCCTTCTCCTCCTGCTCCTCCTCCTCCTCCTCCTCCTCCTCCTCCTCCTTCTTCTCCTCTTCCTCCTCCTCCTCCTCCTCCTCCTCCTCCTTCTCCTCTTCCTCCTCCTCCTGCTCCTCCTCCTCCTCCTCCTCCTCCTCCTCCTCCTCGTGGTGTTTAGCTCCTGCACTCAGCCTTGGCAAGTGCCTGTTTCCCTTCGGACCATTGTGCATTTGTTTTTACCAGAAACAGTGACTCTCCCGTCCCTACGCTGACTTCACCTCCGTCACCTTGTTCTTGCCTGTACCCCTGAGCTTCTCCACAGGGGTCTGCTGCCTGGAACAGCCGACTGGGAGATTGCGCCGGGCCCCCGAGTCTCATCCTGGCTTTATCTCAGCAAAGGCCCCCTTCCCCTTTCTCTTGGGACCCTCCAAAGCACCAGCCCCCCGCCTGTCCCCCTGGGTGGGAGTTCCGTGGAGGGCTCTGGGGACATCCGGGGGCCACTCCCAGCCCACTGCCCCCAGCCCGCAGCACACTCTGGCCCAGACCCACTCCCTGCGCGGCGCCCTCCCCTGTGTCTACCCATGTTCCAAGCCCGGGTTTACGGCCCCGTGCCACTGCATTTCTAAGGATGCAGAACTCGCCCTGCAGGAAAGTGAGCCGGTTTCACAAAACAAGATGCAGAAAACAGGACCTGCCCCAGTCTGACCTCGACCTGTTAATGGGAGAGAGAAAAAAGCACGCATTTGACTACAAGCGGGGGACGTCCCGGGAAGCAGCCGCCGTGGGCAGGAGCCCCCGATGCCGCTGGGGTGACCTAGAAGTGCGGTCAGTTTGGGGAAGTTTGCAGTGAGCCAGCTGTTCCTCTGTAGCCTCCGGTCCCTCCTCCATCTCTTTCTCCCCGCTATTCCTGGAATATTAAGCTGGGAGAGTACTTTTTTTTTTTTTTTTGCAAGGCCACTTAGAGTATTTGCGACTGTTCTCCGTTCATGTCTGTCATCGGCTCTAGCCGCCGCATTTCATTTGATGCCCAGGGCTAGATTATCAGGGATTGAATTGGAATTTTCCATAGGAACTGCAATCTAAAAGCTCTGACCAGCATCGTGTCCTGCTGGGAAGATGGGGGAGGGCCGGGACTCCCTTCACCCTCTTGTCCGGAGGGGACCGTGGAATGGGAAGGGTGTGAGCATCAGCTCTATGGTCTTGTTCTGACCGCAGACAGCCAGCGAGCGTGGCGGGGGACACATCATCCTTTGAGGGACCGGCCCAGTACTCTCCCTAGGCAGCCTTCCCAAGGAATGTCTTTGGAGGCCGTGCTCCCGGGGTCCCCTAGAGGGCAATTATCTAGACGGGTTACTGTTGGGGAGTGGGTTTCCTCTTGTCTCCTCTGCTCTCCTGCCTCCAGCCTGGTTTTCTTTCACTGTCAGCGAGAGCAGAGAGGAGAAACTTGCAGGAAGACCCCCCCCCCCCCGCCTGCCCCCTCCCTCGCCCCATTAGAGTATCTGGTCTTCATCTGTATCACGGCCCATCACTCGGCAAATACCTTTCTGTACCTCGGCATCCCGGGTATTATTCACTGTGAGATGAATGTGACTGAAATCCCAGAGCGCCAACTTGGGCTGAATGCGCCGATGGCGGAGGAGAGGGCAGGCCGAACGGGCTGCCAGGAGGAATCCATTGTGGGGCCGAGAGGTCTGGGAGGTTATTTTTCTCTCCGTCTGGGGAGGAAGCTGCTCGGTTGCCTGGAGACACCGGAGCCCCTCCGGGGTGGGAGGCAGAGGATGCTTGATCACACGTGGTCCGGAGGTTCTACCCTGCGCCCCCCACGCCAGCGGCAGCCGTCAGCGGGTCTCCCCGTGACGGTCTCTGCCCTGTCCTTAGTGCCCGAGCAAAACCTCTACAGAACAGACGGTGCCACCGCTGCGTGTTACAGGCCAGCTCTGAGGAAGGGCTTCAGCAAATGTTTATGCGCGGGTGGAGGGGCAATAATCGTGTTGTCATGTAATATCAATCATCTTAAATTCCGCTCTAAAATATTGAAGTCACTCCATAGCGTGATGAAATATTAAAATCAAATATGTGAGGAGACTAAAGAGAACCGGCTTCATCAATTATGACAGCCACTTCGGGCCGGGTTGCCGAGGCCTCTGCCACGGAGGGCACGGCGGGAGGGGGCGCCGCCTTCCCGTGCCAGCCAGCGCCACGCGGGGCTTCCCGCCGACCCCACCCCCCCACCCCCACCCCCATCCCCACCCCACTCCATGGCTCCCTTCGGACCTGCATTGTGTGTCTGCCCCCCACTGGCTACACAGCGGAGCTGGACATGCACGCGGCTCAGGTGCCCGGCGGTCCGGTCCCGGGCTTGATCAAGAGTGACAGAGCCAGGGTGACCCTGTCACTGCCTGCCCGAGCCGCTGCTGCTTTGCAGTGCAAAAGGCTGCAAGCAGCCCGTCCCGGCAACCGGGCGCCACTGCCCCGACCGGCAGCCGGCTCCGGAGTTGCTGTCTCTCTCCAGGAGACAGCCACGGGTTAGAGCCGACAAGAGCAGACAAATATCTCGCTAAGTGAACACATCTGCCCAGCTGCTCGGCTGCCATCAGCTGCTACTTACGAAACCCATTTTCATTTTCTGATGCTAATTTCCATGTGTGGGAGTCTTCCTGCGATGCGGTGCCTTTCACGCACAAGTCTCCGACTTATTTACTTAGGGGCTGAAATGCTTTCCCTACGGTGGCTCAAACAAAAGACAAAAATCTCCCTCTCCTGCCACGGGGGAGACAATCTCGGCAGGACACAGAGCCCCCCCGCCCCCGCCTCGGCCCCCAAACGTGCGCCTGGCCCCCCTGACGGCTTTGGGGAAGCACTTGGCACACAAGGCGAGCCCGACCAGCTTTTGTCTTCGTAAGCCCATTTCTTAGCCGGTAGTTGCGTTTCTCAGTAGTACCACGGGCCCGGTTTAAGGAGAGAGAGGCTCAAAGTGTCCAACCCCACAACGGCACAGGAAGGCCGGGCTGTGGGCTGAGGGAGAGGGCGTGCTCGCCTCGCCAAGGGCAGCCCGAGCACACGTCTGCCACTGCGCTTGCAACATTAAACCGGGTGGGTCCCTCTTGAAAGGGAAATGAATTTCCTCAAGTGAAGAGAAGCAGAAACTCTCGGTAGCTAAAAAGAATTTCTGCAAAATCATGCAATTAGCGCGAGCTCGGCGAGACGCCCCCCCCACCCCCACCCCTCCATGTGCCTCTAATAAAACCATCCTGAGGAGCAGTGCCATCTAATGTAAGCCGTAAACAGGGAGCATCAAGGATGAAGACCTGGCAAGACATGCAGGAGCCCGGCTCCCATCTTCCCGTGTGTTGCTTCTGCGTGTTTGCCAATCATTCTCCACACCCCCCTCCAAAAAAAGGGGAAAAAAAAAGCAAAGATAAATAAAACTTTTCTTTGCATAGTAACATTCAACAGGATAGGACATTCACATATAGCCCAGTGTGATTAATCACCCTCAGCGCGTTCGTTCTGCCTCTGCGGACCGAGAGGGTTACTTACTGCCCCATGGGTGGCAAAAACTAAATAAGATTCCATCATTCTCCTCCCCGTTCCCCTCCTTAGGAGTGGCCGGGGCGGGAGCAGGTATTGGGTGGGTGGGTGGGGGGACCCTTTTCCAGTCCAGTCCCTCTTTCTTTAACCTTGACAGCCCCCCGCTGGCCAGTGGGAAGGGCCCCCCGGAAAGTCCTTGTGCGGGAGAAGCCCGCACCCTGCTCTGTGCTCGGGGCCAGTTCTGAGCTGCGCTGCCGCCCTGGGCAGGATCCCGGGTTCCGGGCCAAGCCCGGAGCCCAAAGTTCCCGCCACTCCTCCCGGTCACTTGGGGATGCTCCTGCGGGATCCCAGCGCCTAGGCAGGCAAGGTCACAAGGAAAAGGCTCCGCGCAGCCGGTTCGGCCTCCAGGGCCCAAAGGGCGCCCGGCCCCGGGTCTGGCGGCTCGGGTGCGCCTTGGCCGGGGCACCCTCCCCGGCTCCCTGCCCCGGCGGCGGCGCCTCGCCTCCCCCTCGCCGGCACCCCTGGCCGCTCGCGCCGTCGCCGGGTGCCCGATCTGGGGGGCATCGGACCGCCGCGGTCGCCTCCCGCGGCGGGCGGGGGGCCGGGCAGCCCCCCGCGGAGCCGCAGGACGCAGACCCGCCCGCCTTTGACTTTGGGTCGGGGCGTGCGTCCGGCCGGGCCGGGCCGGGCCGGGCCGGGCTGCGGCGCGGGCCGGCCCCCTGCCCGCGCCCCGCGACCCCCGCGCGCGGACACGGGCGCTTCACGTGGGCACGGGCGGCCGGGGCGGGCGCCCAGGCCCCGGCCGGCCCCGACGTCCGCCCCCCGAAGTTGCCCGGCCCCGCGCGCCAGTTCCCGTAGTTGGGGGGCGCGCGGCGCAGGGGCGCGGCCGGTGGGCGAGGGGCGCGCGGGGCTCGGCTTACCGTGGGCCGCTCACTGCGAGGTGCGGGTCGGCGCGCCGGGCGCGGGCATGTCCGGCCGCCGCGGGCAGCCGCCGGCTCGGCCGGGCAGCGCCTCCCGGGCCGGCGCCGCCGCCGCTCCGCGGGCTCCGCCTGTGCCGCCGGCCCCGGCGCGGGCGCGGGCGCGGGGGCGGCGCGGGCGGCGGCGCGGGCGGCGCGGGCGGGTCCCGGCCCCGCGGCCGGAGCGGAGGGTGCCCGGGCCGCGCGCCCGCCGCGGTGCGCCCGCCTGGCACGGAGCGCGGGGGCGCGGGCGCGGGGGCGCGGGGCGCGGGGGGCCGGCGGCCCCGGAGGAGGAGGCGGCCCCGGCGCCCGCCGCAGCGCGCGCGTCCTCGGGCTTCTGGGCTGCAGGCGGCGCCGCGCGCCCCGGGAACTTGTTGAGCCTCGCCGGGCGCCGGGGGCCGCGCGGGTCCCGGCGGGGCACGGGGGTCCCCGCCGCCCCGGGGGGCGCCCGCGACGCCGTTCGCGGCCGCGCCTCACCTGCGGGGTCCCCGGGGGCCGGCGGGCGCAGGGGCGTGTCCGGCTGGAGAGGACCGGCCGGCCCGGCAGGTGGGCGGCGGGAGGGGGGCGCGCAGGGGGGCGCGCCCGCCAGGTGTGCCGCCCGCCGACCTTTGGAACGCTCCAGCACGGCGAGGCCGCCGCTCCGGAGCCCGGAGCCGCCCGCCCCCTCCCCCGCGCTGGGCTTCTGGGCAGAGTCCAGCTCCCCCGGAGGCCCCGCGCCCCCAGACTGGGCGGCTCTGCCCAGCCCCGGCCCCCCCGGGAGGCCCGGCCCGGGACTCCGCGCCGCTGCTGCTCACACGCGTCCTCGCTGACATTGGGGGTGGGGGCGGGGGGCTTCCGTCCGGGCGCCCAGAGCCGCCTGGGCCGGCCGTGGCCCCAGGCCCCAGAGGGCATCCGCAGAGGGGACCGGCGCGGGGGCTGCGTCTTGACGCGCACCTTGACCCAGAGCCGCGGCTGTGCCCGCGCGGGTGTCCTGGCCGGCGGCAGCAGCTCGGGAAGGCATCCCGGGACAGCTGCTCCCCGGCACGCTGCGGACAGCCACTGCGCCCTGAGCCCGGCACGGTGTCCTCAGGCCTCTCCCCTCTTCCTGGGAGACACACTTGCCCCCACGGCGCCCCTCCTTGGCAGGGCAGCCTGGCCCCAGACTATCGGCCCCTCTGTGCGCTGCTAGGGACCCGGCCCTGGCGCCGCGCACCCTGGGGGCTAGAGCCGCACTCTGACCCCTTCTTTCTTTTAGTGCTTGTTTGGGGTCCACACCTGGCGATGCTGGTGGGACCCCGCCCGTCGTGCTGGGGACTGAACTCGGGGCTCCCATCCTTGGCTCTCTCTGTGCACGTCTGGCTTGGGCCCTTCTCAGCTGTGTCCTGCCGGGCCGACTGACCTCCAGTTTCTTCCTTCCCTGACTGTCCAGTGCCAGGGTCCCGGGCAGGAAAGAGACGGCAGGTGAGGACCCCTTTCGGGAAAACCCAGGCCCTTTCTTCTGCCTGATGTTGGGGCATGTCCGCCTGGGGGAAGGATCGGCCCCTGGGTCAGTGCCCGGTAACCCCCCACACCCACCCCGGGCTGCCCTGTCCTGTGTGGACTCCGCAGTTCTCCCAGGGCCCAGGGATCTTTCTGCCAATCTGCCTTTATTGCGGATCCGTAAAATAAAAACTCGCCTCTGTCCCTTAAAGACATCAGTGAGAACAAGGCTGCCAGGGAGTCCCGAGCCGGTGCCGGCAGTGACGGAAGTGCCCTCTGTGGGCAGGCTGGAGCTGGACCTTGCTGGCCCCAGCAGGGTGGGCGGAACCACAGGTGGCCCCCACCAAGGGGGCAGCGTGGCTGGAGGGTGGAGAACCCACCCCCCAGAGTCTCGCGAGAGGCCGGTGGCCTCGGACTCCGTTGCTTCAGCCCCTTCCTGGTCTTACTAAGTCTAGTGACATCTGAGCTCCGTCCTTTGGTGTCAGCGTGAGGAAGCCCTTGTCTGTGGGCTCACACCAGGCCTGCCCTCGGCTCTGCACAGCCGAGTGTGGCTTCAAGAACGTCTCTGTCCCTTGGCGGAGGCCCTGGTCAGGCCACCCAGAGGCTCTGCCTGGCCCCTGCCCAGGCGCTCAGGTCTGGAATGGAATTTGAGGTGGAAAATCAGAGTATCGTGGGGCCGGTGGAGATGCGTCACTGGGAGGGACAAAGATGCATTGTGGCGTCCTGTTTTCTCTGCTCAACCCCACGGGATCGGACCCCGCCCCCAGACTCCCTCCTTCCCTCTCCTTTATCCCATAGGCCAGAGGCTCCCCCACCAGCCGCTGCTCCAGATCTGATTTCTTTCAAAGAATCCAGCGTCCCCACTGTGTGCAGAGAACGCGTCCCCACTGTGTGCATGGTCACTGCAGCTCCCCTGCACCCCAACCCCAATGGGAAGCACAGCGGTAGGGGGCAGTGCTGCAAGCCGGGCTCTGTGGGGTCTTGGAATTCTCACGGGCAAATCTGCTCTCTGGGAGGCCCGGCCCCGGATGAGGGGACCGTCAGGACTCTCCTCTGTCCCCCATCGTGAAACCAGCTTCAGCTCGGGCCCGGGATGCTACCTGTGGCCAGAATTAGGCTTCTAGTTTCATTGTTGGCTCCGCCGATGCACTTTGCTGGGGTCCGGCTTACGGCGTCATGTGAAGGTGTTTGGGGACCGGCAGGGACTCCCGGGGGTCTTGGGCACAGGGACCACCCTGGCTAGGCTGAGCCTGGCCCACTGGGGTGATTCAAGTGGGGGCAACTGGAGACTGCCGGGCACCTGAATAGCCCGGGCATCTCTGCCCTGCCGCCTGCTGCCCCGTGCCCACGTGAGGTCCTACCCGGGGCTTCCCCTGCCCAGCCTTTCCTGGGGCTGGACATACCTGCACCCGGCGTACTGACCCACACCTTGCAGTGAGTGGCCCACAGTAAACCGAGTCCCGCACGCCCCTCGTCCACACCGGCCTGCGCGGCTGTGCTGCTCGTGCTGTGGTCCTAATGGGACCCTCTCTGGGGACCCTCTCTGGGGACCCTCTCTGGGACCGCGTGGGCAGGAGAGAGAAGAGCGTGGGCCACCTTCCTGCCCAGCCCATCCTCAGAGCGCCTTAGAAATTGGTCTTCAAGCTGCAGCGCTGGGAGCACCTTTGCCATCTTGTGTCTTCGGAGAGTCGCAAATGGCTCAGGACATTGTCACCCGTCCTCGACATCCGGGAGTGCCTGGTACCGGGTCCAGCCCACATCTACCGCACAAGGTCATTTCAAGTTCCGGGGGTGCAGGTGGCTGAATCCGAGGGCCACGCTCCTCCCTGAGTGCTCCTCACCTCGCAGTCCCCCAGAGGGGCCCCCTGGGTGGTGTGGCCCCTCAGAGGGGCCGCGCGCTGCTGCTCCCTCGAGAACCAGCATTGTCCAGCTCTGTTTGCGTTGCCCCTGGGGACGAAAGGACGAGAGGGACCCGTCGTGCCACTCCCCGTGTCCACAGACGTCTCTTTAAGTGATTGAGCCCCTGGGGAATTAAGTAGGTCATTACTTTAATTCTCCCTCATTTAGGGCTGCCGCACTCCCGTTTCCAATTTGCCTAATTTGTGTTTTGGAATACTTGGCAGCTTCGTTGAACTCCAAGCGCGGGCCCTGCCCTGGGAGCGACTTTGCCTTCTCTCTCTCTCTCTCTCTCTCTCTCTCTCTCTCTCTCTCTCTCTCTCTCTCTGTCTCTCTCTCTCTCTGCCTCTCCCTGTCTCTCCTTCTCCCACTCTCTCTTCCTCTCTCTCTTCCTCTCTATTCTTCTCTCTCTCTTCCTCTCCCTCTCTCTCCCTCTTTATTCTCTCCTCCTCTCTTCCTTTCCCTTCTCTCTCCCTCTCCCTCTTCCTCGTCTACTCTCTCCCTCTCTCTTTCCCCACTTTCTCCCTTTCTCTCTTCTTCTCTGTTCTTCTCTCCGTTTTTCTCTTCCTCCCTCTCCTTCTCCCTCTCTCTCTCTCCCTCTCTCTCTCCTTCTTCCTCCTTCTCCTCTCTCTCACCCCCTCTCTCTCTTCCTCTCTCTCCCTCTCTCCCTCTCTCTCTCCTTCTTCCTCTCTCTCTCTTCCTCTCTCTCCCTCTCTCTCTCCCTCTCTCTCTCCCTCTCTCTCTCCTTCCTCTCTCCCTCTCTCTCACCCCCTCTCTCTTCCTCTCTGTTCTTCTCTCCCTCTCCTCCCTCTCTCTCCCCCTCTCTCCCTCTTTATTCTCTCCTCCTCTCTTCCTCTCCTTTCTCTCTCCTTCTCCCTCTTTCTCGTCTACTCTCTCCCTCTCTCTTTCCCCACTTTCTCCCTCTCTCTCTTCTTCTCTGTTCTTCTCTCCCTTTTTCTCTTCCTCCCTCTCCTTCTCCCTCTCTCTCCCTCCCTCTCTTTCCCTCTCTCTCTCTGCCTTTCCCTGTTTCTCCTTCTCCCACTCTCTCTTCCTCTCTCTCTTCCTCTCTATTCTTCTCTCTCTCTTTCCCTCCCTCTTCCTCTCTCCCTCTCTCTCTTCCTCTCTCTCCCTCTTTCTCTCTCTCCCCTCTCTCTCCTTCTCCCTCTCTCTCTTCTACTCTCTCCCTCTCTCTTTCCCCACTTCTCCCTCTCTCTCTTCTTCTCTGTTCTCTCCCTATTTCCCTCTCTCTCCTTCTCCCTCTCTCTCCCTCCCTCTCTCTCCCCCTCTTCTTCCTCTCTCCCTCTCTCTCACCCCCTCTCTCTCTCCTCCTCTCTCTCCCTCGCACTTTCTTCTCCCCACTTTACTTACACACCGGAGTTTACAAACTTGTTCTGACGGTTTCCCGTGTGCCGCCCAACCCCATCTTCGTGTCACCGTCCCTTCACCCGCGTCCCCATTTCCCAGCCACCCCTCGAGCCCGCCCCGTAGCAGCCCACAATCATCCACTAGACATTGCTCGACGACACTACGCGGCTAATGGGATGATCGAAAAATACGTCCGTAAAAGAAAATTTGGGAAAACCGTTGTATCTCACCACGGGTACATTAAATCCTGTCTGAGTTTTCCTGAGCTGTCACCGACTAATAAACATTAACTTTGTAAAAGGCTTCGCTCGAAGCCTTGCCTTCTGCTAACGTCTGGGCGCCTCTAACTGGAGAAGGGCTTAGGACTGGGGTCA